TTTATGCAATCAAACCCTTGAGATAGCAATTTCTTTTTGCGAGGGGTAGGAATTGGGTCGGGCCGGGCAGGGTTTAGCCCAAAACCGACCCGACATACTCGATTTTGGACTCTTTCACGACCTGACCTGGTGCGGGTCCAACTGTTTTTTTTTAAACACTGATTAACTTAAATATAAATAATACTTTTGCCATTTCAATAAGAAATTTTCAACAAAATAATATTTGTCATTCATACACGCAATCAACTAAAATTGAAAATCACTAAGAATAGGTTTATAATTTGAATTTTTTCACAAACAAAAATTAAAGCGTACATCCAAAATAATTATTTTCCTTCACGTTAATATCATACTAATAAAATCAAACACACAAAACATAATTTGATATTTCTTTTTCCTTCCTAACACACTACATAATATAGATACATAAAGAACGAGAATTGATCTTCTTCGACAAGATTAGAGGCATGAGCCATCAATTCACGTGAAAATAATGCAGGATTCACTTTCTTTCATCCTAACTGCAAGGGAAAAGATTCTTATAAACATATTGATAAGAGCTATCTGCCATTTTTTTCGTATTCTTGATGAAAATTCATAATTAATATATAATAAAACTAAACAAATTACTGATGCAGGAGGGTCCGAGTCGAACGAAGTCGAGTTGTCAGATAGCTCGTTGATGGTGCTAATGTACCATGAGTTGGCGGATTGGCGTAAGAATGGAAAGTAATCGACAACATTTCCTAATTGGGGCCAATCTTGGACAGGTGTTGGTATTTTGACCATAACTTTGGCTACGATTATCAGAATCACGCTCATGACCCCAATTCGGAAAACTCTTTTCGGCACGCACGTCGTGGTCACCCAGCTATGCTCGATATGCATCGGTTTTGAGGACAAATTCAGCTGTTTTCCCTTCCGAATCATCAATTTAAGTTATTTTTTGCCATTTATGATAATATTTCGGTTTCCTTTTTGTCATAGAATAATTGTTCGATTTGAGCCAGATTTGGTGATATTGTTTCTTTAATTAAGTATTTTATTTATGTATGAATAATAGGCTATTGCTATTTTAGGCAAATTTCCGATAGTTGCTATTTTTCTGGATATTT